TCGTACTGTGTTTTGAAAGGGTGTACGGGACTGCTAGACCCTTTGGCTGCGTCTCCGGAGATATGGAATTTACAAGGGTCTTACAGTCCTGTACACCGTTTCAAAACACAGTGTAACTAATAGTGTGTACTCGAAACTAATGACTAGTCTTGAGGTCTGGACATTTAGGGTATATATGTATGTAGGGTATACATAGTAGTAGCATATATATATATATATACTACATTTAATAGTGATATAATAAGCCAATTTATTATGCGCTGTTTTCCACCCGTTGCAGTTGCTCAAAGCGCAGGCATCAAGTGTAGTACTTGGAGAAGAGATGGGTCTTAAGTTTAGACTTAAAGACAGCTAAAGATGGGGAGGTTTTGATATCAAAAGGAAGATAGTTCCAGAGAAAAGGATCACAGAATGAGAATGGTATTTGGCCGAAGGATTTGAGCTTGATCTTGGGGATGGTAAATAGAAGTTGATCATATGATCTCAGGTTTTTGCTTGAAGTATATTTCTGGAGAAGTTCTTTCAGATATCCTGGTGCAACATCATGGTAACAGCTGTAGGTCAGGGATAACACTTTGAATTCGATTCTATTTTGTACTGGGAGCCAATAGAGATTCATCAATAATGGTGTTATATTGGATGTTTTCTTGCAGCGATGATTTAACCGAGCTGAGGCATTTTGTACTCTTTGGATTTGTGTACGAATTCAGATAATTTCAAGATTACTTGAATCCATTAGGGACCGTTCATAATTTATGGCTGGGGGTGGGGGTGGGGGTGGTGATGATGATTTTTATGGAGAAGAATGTACAATGTGAATGCCACCCCCCCTAAAATTTATGTACAAAGTAAGTGTTCCCCCTGCATGTCATGTACAATGTCAATGACCCCCCTCCTATTTTCCATATTTTTAAAGTATAATTTTTAAATATTCTAATGTACAAAATTGTTGACCCCCGTAGAAACATGTGTACAAAATTGATGATACCCCCTACCTCCCCGAACAAAATGGGTGACCCCCATCCCACACCTAAAATCATCATCACCCCCCAAGTCATAAATTATGAACAGTCCCTTAGAGACACGATTCCAAAGGATTGTGTTCATTATGTTCCCGACTTTAAAGTTCCTGATACCCTCACAATTCTGGTCAAAGCATATGACAAAAACTGCACTGATAGTTGATGCAAGTGCAATGCTGAATGGGAGACTGAAATCTCTTTCTGTCTTGGTCCTCTGTCTACGAAAGTAGAATTTAAAAAAATCATACGACTTGTTGAGGGCGCAAACAGGGCGTGTCTGACAAGTATTGAATATGTGGACAGAGAGGAGTACATATCCCTGCTGAACTGAAGTAAACTGGCACTAATCTTGTTGACACAATCACTGCATGCCTAGGAATAGATCGGGGCATTCCAGTTGATCATGAGTCACGTATGAGGACTTAAACCCTACTCAGCATAGATTATATGCTTCATGGGTTGTTTTTTTCTAATATAGATAATAATACGTTTTTGTAGATATATAAAAGCACATTAGTGATTAAAGGGGAGGTGTGGTTGTCCTGTGGTTAAAGCGTTCGCTCGTCACGCGGAAGGCCCGTGTTCGAATCCCCACGGGGGGTTTCAACAATCGTCTATCAAGTTCAAATTTACCGAAAAGTATCACCCAGGCCCATCCTCGATCAATCGGCAAATGCGTGACGCCCATTCCTGGTGTCCCCTGCTGTAATATCGCTGGAATATTGCTAAAAGCGGAGTAAATTCCAACTCACTCACTCACTTCATTACTAAGCATGTAACTACCTAGAAATCTTGTGTTTTTGGATTTTGTGTCATGGAAATGGACTATTGTAACATTAGGCTGCTTTTTATCTGGAAGCATATCTTAACTAATCAGACCTAACTGTGTTTTCTTTAAATGTATGCAGGGGGAAATAGGTTTCTTTCACCTTACACTGGTATTTATCTATGAATTATGACTGAAAATAACTAAAATTTAAAATGGTAATTATTACTCCATGATAATCATTTCTTCAAATGTAACCGATTACACAATACATATGACCATAAGACTGGTTCATCTTTAGCCAAGGTAACGTGCCTGACATCAAGATGCCCAATTAGTAGGTCGCCTACATATGTGTTTGAAAGAGCTGAGGCAAATAAGCAAAGAAACTATGCACATCATCAGCGTGTACGTATGGATTGTTTTGCATGTGATTTCTGACAAAATTTATCTCCAAAGTGAGGGATTACTAGTATGATTTTCAATTTCGAATGTCACTGTCATACCACAAACTGTTTGTGAATGAATGAGTGAGTGCACGAGTTTGGTTTTACGCCGCTTTTAGTTATATTCCAGCAATATCACGGCCCGGGACCCCAGAAATGAGCTTCACACATTGTACCCATGTGGGAAATTGAACCCATGTCTTCAGCGTGCCGAGCGAACGCTTTAACCACTAGGCTATACCACCGCCCTTGTGAAGGAGTTCTGGGATAGCAAAGGTTTGAGCATTTTATTTTAAGAAAGTTGAATAACAATATCGTGATTTTCGGTTGCGAGATTGCAATGTCTCCTCCGGGTTAAGAGGACAAATACAAGAATATGCTTTCGAGACATGCTTCTGATATAGTTCAAACGGGAAAAAGACAGAAATGGAACATTCCTCATACATCTGGAATATTGCTAACTTCAGCTCAAAACAAGAATCAAATAAACCGAGGGAATATTTAAACTTGACGTCGAAATGTTATATATTCTATATCGCATTCCTTGACAGTGAAACCTACCGGATTCCAGTTAACAGTTCAACGAACTCTTTCCCTCGCACCTTCATAACATATCCATGTCGGAGGTCAGTGCCACATTGTTTCGCATGCTCAACGGTGATCATCACAGTCTCAGCTCAAATGTTGCTAACCAAACTGTCTTTGCGTTCATACACTATGCTTTTCGCCAAATCATGCCCTTAGCAACACAAGCAGTACATGTATTTCAGTGTTGTTTCAAGATGGACAGTCACGTACACGTTACAGTCCACACACGTATACGTACATATGGCGAGTGACATTATAAAGGTGCGATAAGACACCCAGCCCTCTCATCCAAATATACGACTTTGACCTACTTTGCTATCAACGGTTCTGTTAGACATGATGACCCGTGAAAACACGGGTTAGAATTAGTCTTCAGCAACCCATGCTTGTCGACTAACGGGTCGGGTGGTCAGACTTGCTGACTTGGCTGACACATGTCATAGTGTCCCAACTGAGTATATTGATGCTTATGATGTCAATCACTGGATTGTCCGATCCAGACTCGATTATTTACAGACCGCTGTCCCATAAAAAAATGGCTGAGTGCGGGGTTAAACAACACACAGGCAACTATGTTCTAATTACTGTTCTAGAACGACAAAAATTGTATATTGAAAGAAATAATTCTGTTTGGGAACATTTAGACGGAAAACAATTATAAGATTCTGTTGTTCTGGTGTCATATCCCAATTACGGTGATATATGATGTTTGACACTGTACAAGATGGTGTGCTGATATGATACAGGAGGTAGTCTTTTCGTGTGGCAGCCTAACATAGGATGATATCGCGATAGTCTCTGTGGATGTAGTTAATATACTGTGAATAAAAAGTTAAGCGCCACCCAGTATATTTTGCCAATATAGGTGGTCTCATAGGATATCTTTCAGCAAAATATCAACTATCATAATTTGGTTTAGTACTTTTAGTTTAAAAACAAAACCATTATGGAAATTATCTTTTCCTTTAAACTGGATGTATGCGCTTTTGGAAATACATGCATTTTGTTTTCCTCGAAAAGGTTACCTTCTTTTGAAAAGTGAAAATCAGAAATGACTGTTATATGGTCACATGATTGTCATTTTTGACAAGTAAAACCTAAGTTTAATAGTGTTCTATGAGCAGAATAGGAATAGTTATTTTGCTTTAAAAATCTTTGTGCCATGATACCTTTAACAAAAGTTTAATTGTAAATACAAATGTTTATGATATCCCTAAATCAGTTACCAGATGAACCTTCTCTAATTATGGATTGGTCTTCCCAATTATTTTAGCCTAACATTTCCACAGCTTCACATCTTAGTTCTGAAATAGGTTGGCGCTTAACTATATATACGCGTAATCTGATGGTGCTATGGGAAATTGTGAGAAACGCTGAAACAGTCACATAACAATATTCATAATAGAACAATATAAAGATGCGTTTACATGTTTCACATTATGCTTATATTCTTATGTCCTTGTGCTATCCATACGTTCCAAATAAAGCCAATATACACATACATACATCATTGGGTCTTTCTGAAACAACTCCAGACATAAATCGGTGGTACGTGATTGCCCCCTATCCCAAACCTCTTCTCACAACGAATCGTAAATATCGCTCATTTGACTTACAACTTGTTCAGCTTGACCTGATCAAGTGAATAATAGATCAAGTGAATAACCAGAACTGGTTGGGTCTATTATTGTGAAGGGGTGCACTTTTGTCAGTTGACTGCCAACATGTCCGAGACAACACAGCCGAGAGAAGGTCGCGCCGTTTGACATCCCAGTTTCGAGAAATCTTCAGCAATGTCCTAACTTTCTTTAAAAAAGAAGCTACAGACATATTGCAGTTGAACATGAAATAGAAAAAGTGATATCACTGCTGTGTGTACTGACTGACTGAGTTTGGTTTTACGCCGCTTTTAGCAATATTCCAGCAATATCACGGCGGGGGGCACCAGAAATGGGCTTCACTCATTGTACCCATGTGGGGATTCGAACCCGGGTCTTCGGCGTGACGAGCCAACGCTTTAACCACTAGACTACCCCACCGTCCCCTGCTGTGTGTAGAGAGTGATAGCGAGAGTGAATCGGATTGTGAAAGTAACTGAGGTTGCAAACTAGATAGATTGTTTTTTCAGAAGTGTTGATTTCCGGGACAAGTTCTAACGAATCCATGCATGCTTCGCACGAAGGCAACATTAATAACATTCTCTGCTCCCCTATTTAATGAGGTTAACTCAGCCTCCCGTTTGTGCCATTTGGCCTCCCGGGTCATGAATTTGTAGAGTAGCTCATGTCAAGCTGAACAAGCTGTAGAATATAATGATGTTTGCAAGTCATGTGCTTATATATGGCGTTTCTCCGTGCGTTTTATCATCAGGTTGACGAGGGTGTCACATAAGTCAATTCGCTATGCAGAGATGCATACCATCGGCCCACCAGGAGGCACGACTCTCTTATTATTATTATCCGTGGTCTGACAGAGTGAGATAGCTCCATATTTCACTGAACTAACACTAGAGACGCATGTATGTTCTTGTGTTTTTGTCATGTATGATATTAACCCTCCTCGATATGATAAGTGAAGATTATTTGATGGAAATCCGTTCGTCGCCACACTCAGCAACATCCCAGCTATATGGCGGCGGTCTTTAAATAATCGAGTCTGTATACAGACAAACTTTATTCGGTAGATGCGACGTTTTGATACAGTTTCTTGTATCGTCTTCAAGCAAGTAAAGTTTGTATATTACTCTCCAACTTCTAAACAATGCCGCTCAAAGAAGTTAATCGTGTTTGGGCCAGACAATCAAGAGATCAAAAGCATGAGCATCTAATTGGGATACGATGACATGTGTCAGCCAAGTCTGACCACCTGAACCCGTTAGTTGCCTCTTACGACAAGCATGGGTAACTGAAAATCAATTCTAACCCGGACCTTTACGGGTAGAAACCTGTTGCAATGAAGTCTTGGAACCTGCAAGCAATAACACAAGGAGGTCGGCAGTGTAGTTATACAGTTTAGTGCTGTTAAATTATGATATATAACACACTATATTAACTTTACCAAGTACAATCAAACACTGTTGTGCCGAACTTTAATATGTCGAACTTAAGGTTGTCACCTTTCGTTCCTTTCTTATAATTTCTATAGTCATCGTGTTGCGTTGGTTCGAAACTCGGATGACTCGAAGTATTTAGGTAAGTGCCTTAATCTTCGACACAACAGTGTTTTGTAATCCATAACACTTTCTGAAAAAAAACCTAGAATATCGCGTTAAAAGCCAGATGGAGATATCTTTAGGTTAACCACCGATTTGTACAAATGGTCATGACATCCTTTCACCTGCATGGCCGTGTCTACTTCAACTTGCGACTCCTGTCACAGTAACATCCCAGCTTGGTTTGGATGCACACAATGGACCAAAACACCAACCAGCGGATTCTCGCATGTATAAGGCATCTAATTATCCATGATGAGTTCACAGTCTGTTTCCGTTTCTCCACAGAAATTATGTGATGTAGATAAAGTATTGTATTTCCAATTAATCACTTCAAAGGGGAGTATGTTCCACTTACTGGTACCAATTTCAAATCTAGATTAATTGTGCTTGGACCGTAATCGTTAACTGCTAGATTGCTATACTTTGCAAAATTTTATTTAACTGGTATTTGATTGACATGAAACAAAACTGCAAGGATTTAATTTACCATTGATGCTTAGACATTTTACCCTTACCCTGTTGATGTTGCATTTAGAGTGTCTGTTTCCGTTTAAATAGTCCTTTCAAAAGCTTGACTTGGGACAAGGCCCGAAGGTGATTCGTAAATACTGTCAAGCTGCTTCAAATATCAAGACTTAACTTTTCGAGCGAAGGACCCGAATTGCTGATTTTTTTTGAATCCATGAGCTCAAGATAGCATGTACACTTCCATTAAAAAATATTGCATTCACTTCACTTCATTTGCCTCTTTCAGTGGTTCAAGACATTCCTCATCCTTTGATGGTGATGCTTGTGGGTGTTTTGCTGCATAACGTCGTACAAGAGGCTCACATAGCAGCAGTGCTGCGGAAAAGAAGGATGACACACCAAGGTACTGGAAACAGGGTATATAGGATCCGCTCAAGTCACGTAATGCACCTGAAACAAACATACGTATTCACTAAAAAATGAAGACATGACTTGTTCATGATTATTGGTCTAATACTGATGTGACGTGATGCTCTGAAGGTACTTCAAATATCTTTGACCAAAGTTTCATGTATATTGCTGACACAGGTAGATTATATTCTGCTTTTCGCATTCATTATCAGGGTGTATCAACTTCGTGTAAGAGGAAACCCCACGTATTAGATGTTTACTGCTTTTCTTAATCCAACAAGCATGAAAATGGGGCTGACAACGCCAGAGCCAAAATCAGTCAGCATCTCAGCTACAAACCCACTGTAATATGTATCCTACCCTCTAATTTGTGAAGCGGATGGGCAGATAACTTTACCGTGTCATTGCTGCATGTCTATTGCACGTTTTGGGTTTCCATAGTCCGAAGGAACAATCAATCAATGGAGACTCGAAAGAGTGAAAAGGAAATGATAACAGGGTAATATGTAAGGTCTGTTACCTAAAATTGGATGTGTCAGTGCAGCTGAAAATCCTTGGAATAACACTGTAAATCCTATAGTCTTTGCCATACAGTCGATTCCCATAAAATCCACTATTAGCAATGGAAAAAGGCACGGGACGGCACATCCGAAGACGCCAACCACTACACAGTAGGCTACAAGAAGAGGATATGTGGTGTAGAACATTATAAACTGTGATGCCACTCCTACGATCAAAAGGCCAAAAGCCATGATTCGAGAGACACGAAGATATCCAAGATCAGCTACAAAACCATAAAACAGTCGACAAAAGAAGTCCAGAATTCCAGAGATGAGCAGCAGAAAGGCTGCATCAGACTGACTGAGTCCCATTTCCTTCATCTGTGCCGGGAGGTAGGTTACAATGTGTCTCACAACAACACCGAACAAACAAAATGCCACAATGAGAAGAAACATTGGATTCTTAAATAAAGAAAAGTCAAATGCTTTGAAAACCTTCCGAATATTTCTAGCGATTGCGGATTTTCTGTGATTTCGATCATCGACACGTATGTCCCTTTCAGATGCATCCAACTGTTTGGGTGTGATTATTGGGAGACTCACGAGGTCTGGGTTACTTGTGTATACCATTTTTTCAAATTCGGAAACAGACTGCTTTATGATTTTTTTAGAACCTTCAGAGTGTGCTCTTTTCCTGAAGGAATCGTCGTCGATTTGGGGATCCAGGAATCCATTGCAGGTATCATTAACAACAACGTTACAACTCCTGGTACTTCCACCGTGAATGTCCTCTCCGCCATGGTGTGCTCCAGTAGCATCTTCATTCCTGATGACCGCTCTCACTTCAACACCACCACTGTCCACTGTATCTTCCTGCATGCGATCGGGTTTCACTCTTCTTTCATAGAAGTGAAGAGGTCGATATAGGGATGCCCCTACAAATATATTCATAGTTAGACCAGTGTATATAAGCATTGTTCCTCGTATCCCATATTCGTCCAGCAGATATTGAGTAAGTATTGGGAATACACCTGCTACACTCATCGCTGAACCCGCAGCTGTTGTAGCCAGGCCTCGTCTTTTCTTGAAGTATTTTCCAATCAGCACAATACCAGGCGCGTGTGCCATTGAATTGCCCATTCCTAAAACAAAAGAATGGAAAGTGTCCTGTCAACATGCGTATGTATGAATGTGGTATGGGTGATATTGTTGGCATTGCCTGGGAGACGATATGATACCGGAGCATACAGTGCCACCTTATGCTATCTGTAGGATCTGTTTGTCTGAGTGTGGTTCGCATGGACAAAATATAATTGCCACCATCGAGATTAGGGCGTGATTCCCATCCAATCATATCATGCCAGGAGTTCCAAGAATGGCCGTATCTACAATAATCCAACAGTATCTTAGAAATTGCCAATCGCTATAACTATGCACTACCTTCCTTCTGGACGCGTTTCGAAAACGCATCTATGCTAGCATTAGACAGTGAGCTATCAGATGACCTATTTTAAAGGAAGCGTTTTTTCTTCTCCTGCTATTTAGTGGACAAAAACTGGCATGGGGACGTACCTGTAAGAACACTGTGAACACATATAAGGACCGTTATGCTCGGCGCAAAGGTGGCAGTTATCAGAGGGACTATTTTAAAGGAAGCGTTTTTCTTCTCCTGCTATTTAGTGGACAAAAACTGGCATGGGGACGTACCTGTAAGAACACTGTGAACACATATAAGGACCAGTATGTTCGGCGCAAAGGTGGCTGAGAGAATACCCAACACATTGAGGAGTCCGCCCAACAAGACTGTCTTCCTCGTTCCGAGGAACTCCAGCACAACGTTCATAGCAATCGGTGCTAAAAGTGTAAAACCATCACAGTACACGATCATATTAATATAATAAAATCACACGGAACTTTAGACTAACGTTTAGTAAAATGGGAATTCGATGTATTTTGTAATTTGGTATTCTAGTCACTTGGATGCAGCAGTAAGATATAAGTGTGTCTGTTTCTATTTTCTGTTCGATACATGAAGCATTTATACATTCGAATATAGGTGCTCTTGTATCCCGAAGATCAAGATAAAAAAGACGCACTGATGAATGTCAAACATATTACATGACAAGTGGAAGAGAATTTGCCGTATCCCTCTCCAGATATGTTGTACCCTCGTGTTAAATCGCAATATATACATTAACAAGTATGAAATACGCAATTATTCTGGTTTTACTTCCTTTGTGCAAAGTGATACTGCTCAGCTTTAATTAGGGACACACAATGAATATGCGATGTCATAATCCCAAATATAATATGTGCTACAAGGACACGCAATATAAACTATTTTATGTATGTCGTATATAACCGTTGTTATGGACATGTACTGAACACAGATCATTAACAGAACTTTACAATTTAAGGCACGAGAAACATATAGCTTTTCGTATTTTTGTTTATGGCTGGTCATTAGCTACGAACGGTCTGCTTACACATTAGGCTGATGGTCATCGCTTTCACCCCAAGGACAAGGGTTGTCTCCGTGGTAGATGCACCAAACATCTCAAGGTATTCCACAAAGAACAGCGCCATGGATCGGTTGTATCCACCCGTCAGCAGAGCATTCAGGAAACACCCTTAAATAAATATATTTTTTACCATTGTTATTTTTTTGTGAGGGACGATGGAAATTCTCATGTGGACATACGCTGGACTGCCAAACACCATACATAACGTGCTAAACAAATCACAAACACGGAATGATCATTTATTATGGCTAAAACAAAAGAATGGAAGGTGTCACTGTCGACATGCGTATATATGTATGTTGTATGGGTGATATTGTTCGCATTGCCTAGGAGACGATATGCTACCGGAGTATACAGTGACACCTTATGCTATCTGAAGGATCTGTTTGTCTGAGTGACCCTTTATTTATTTCCAGATTTTCACACATACCTCGATACAAAGCATACGAATAAACCTGGGAAAGATTAAGGAACAACTGTACTTTCATGTGTACTTTCATCAGTACATATGTTTGAGTTATACGCACCTGTAAGTATTCATGAATGTATACGTACCTCCGAGTATCGCCCAAGCCCATCCTCTGTCTATAGGTAGGGTTGTGTTATCATCTTCTGGAGGTTTTACTTCAGTTTTCACACTCTTCCCTTTGTCGTCATCTCCATGATCATTACTCATTGCCATAACTTCAAAACGACTGTGTGTAGTAATACACTCGTTATCTATGTTACATAATAATATGCACAGCAAGTCTGTCATTGGCATAGTAAGGTCAAATGCAGCCCATGTGATCTACGGCTGTTATCGGAGTGTCCTATCTTATGACGTAAGGTCAACTTGTGATAGCATTGAGGTTTTCTCGTGCCATCTGAATTCGAAAACTGGTATCATTCATTCACGTCAGTTTTCATTGGTAGGTACATCGGTAGGTAGACAGTTAGGTAGGTATGTCGATATCTTTGCACGTACGTAAAGGAGACATAAATGCAGGTTCAGAAATACAGGGCAGATGACAGATAAAGTAAAACACGAATGAATTCTACAGTACTGCAGTACGTAGATAGGCGTGAATATACCAAGTCGATTCAATTACTCTGTGGACTAGAAAGTGAAGTTTTACGTTACTCTTACACGTCCCATGTATACTGTACTGGGGTCTGTACAACTATACAATACATATATTGCAGTCTGACGTCAGAGATATCAGAGCGGTATATACGATCTCTCGAAATCGCAATTGTGGAATTCGGTAGATAAAACCACAGAGGCTACCATTGGACTTTTTTAACCTACTTCATTATCTAATCAGAGTGTCCTTTGCTGGAGGAAGAATGACTGTTACATTTAGCTGCTCATACTTTATGGAAGAGTGTAAATGTTCAAAATATAATAATAATTAACGAAGCGTTGATGATGACTGTGTTCAAATTGCTTTGCCAGCTGTTAACCAACGCGGGTGTCACTTGTTGGGGTTTGGTGTGATGTTTATCTCCTTTGGAGTTCCTTCATGAAAATCTCGATGTTTTTGTTTTTGTTGGGTTTTTTATCCCCAAATCAGGTATACAGAGTAATTATACAGTGCATCTAGAAATATGTAAGCAGCTGTACATGTTTGATACAGCTGGGTTCTCCAATTATTACATGTAAAATATCACAAGTTAGACGAAGTCATGTTAGACAAGTGCAAATGTAAATGTGTCTTATTGCAGAGAGGGTTATATGATTTAATAGTGGGTCTTTTTCTAAAATACCAGACCAAACAAGGAATTTTGTCAGTTGCAGTTCTTGTATGTTTTGAATAATCCAATCCCAAGGTCATTCCAAAAGGTTTTGGTTCCATCCCACATTTCAGTATACACGGCATAAGTTCTCATTCACATCATTCCAAAAGAGCATATTTCATTGTCAACCAGTTTCATCTTCACCAATTTACATTTCAATTCACATTCATAAAAAAACGTCCACGGCGCTTATTAGAGACCAGGCGCTTATGGGAGGCCAGGCGCTTAAAAAAGACCTGGCACTTATTAGAGGAAGTACGGTGCTTGAAATATATATACATCGTCTGCACTGCACATGTGTGGATGTGCAGAGTGCTGGTATATGTACATAGTACAGGTGGGTAAGTACATATGTGAGTCTCCAGGGTAGGCCCACTGATATCTCTTGCCGCAGTTCAGCGTTGACATTGATACCCCAGTCAGATATGTTATGTCGTCTCCCACCAGTACAGTGTGTCAATACCCACAGGGGCGTGTCACGCTTAGAAACAGCGTTAGAAAGGCATATAGGTAAATAGACCCTACCCTAGTACTATATAAAAGGAAAGGGATGTAACGACGGAACCACCCCCTCCTCAATCAAAGTTAGATTTCACCACGTAAACTATTTTTAAGGCCCCGTCGAGGCCTACGGATCAAAAGCGAGATGATTTCCCTACCAAATGAGCTATAAATGGTCACAATCGGATCATTATTTCAAAAGTTGTACGCCTGAGTAGTAAATTTGTAAGAATGATTTTAGAGGTTAAATATTTATAAATATAATTTCCAAAAAATGAATCAATAGTGAACTATTTGTGTGTAGCCACGATCGTACGAGCAGTTTGGTAACTGTAGCGTGACTGTAGTGTAGCGTGCAGCTGCAGCGTGACAATGAAGTAATGTCACAACATTATGTAAGTGATATATGTGAATCGGCTTGTCTACATATAATTCACAAGCCGATAAGGAAGAAGGTCATAATTGTATTTTACAATGATTTTCTCATACACAATTAAAAACTGATAACCGAATTAACCACAGCGTTAGGAGTCAAGATGAGTGGATCTTCAATTCACAGAGTTTTTAATTACCATGTTTATGAACACGAGTTACCCGTCTGTACTGGGAACAAGGCTGGGTATGTAGACTAAGTGACGTCACTGTGTAAGGTAGAGGTAGGATTCACTGGATGTCAGCTTTCTAATTATTAATATCAGATTGGCCACATTCTACTCCGCATCTTGCTGCAGTTCTTTGCTGTAGTTCATTGGGAGTTGCAGACGCATCACATACTTCCAGAAACAACCCTCAAGTAGTCTACCATCCAAGGAAAGGAAACCGTGCAGGTTAACAGTAAAACAATTCAAACTAGGACAATGTTTGTGATGATGTTAACCGAAACCGAAATAATCATATAAAGAGGTTTCTATTAAGCTGTTTCTCTTTTTATTGCCATTATTCCTGATAGCTCATTTATGCAAATGAATTAATAAAGGGACGTTATTAACAAAAGTGTCAAGGCAAACTTTCAAATGCAAATCTTAGGTATTATGGCCAACGCTACATGGCATACTATGGCACCATTTGATGTGGCCCATCATTATATAGTCATGGTGTTTCGGTTGTTTCGACACAGTGTCTGTAATTCAGGACACATTATGTACAAGTGTAGAATATCGTGTTCTGAGCCAGTGGGTGACGTGTGCTGGATTACCACCGCTTTGTACATCTGACATACTTTCACCTACATGACGATGCCTATTGACCATGCCTACTGCAACTTGCATACCAGTTTGGTTGTGATGCAAACATTGACCCAAAACACCAACGATCGGATCCTGGCACCAATATTCGTGCACGATGAAATCACAGTCATGTTTCTCTGTAGAAATAATCACATGCACATAAATATTGCATCATTTCAAGTAGGAGTATGATCTACTTTCTAGTGCCAATTTCTAATTTTGATACACGGCATTTGATTAGAACAACTGAGGCACATTAACTGTGCTTTGACCGTAATCGTTAACTGCCAGATTGCTTTTCTTTCGTTGAACTGATTCACAAACTGTTATTTGATTAACATAAAACAACACTACCAGGTTTACTATTAAGGGTAAGCCATTTTACCCTGTATTTTGAGTGAGTGAATTAACACTTTGAACATAGGATCCAAATTGTTGGGTTTTATAGCATATACACTTAGGGCACGTAAACGCTGAGCATATGCATGAGAACTTCAGTTGCCTATTTCAGTGGTTCCAGACATTCTTCATCTTTTGATGGTGATCCTTCCGTGGTTTTCGCTGTATAATGTCGTACAAGAGGCTCGCATAGCAACTGTGCTGCGGCAAGCAAAGATGTCGCACCAAGGTACTGGAAACAGGGTAGATAGGATCCGGTCAAATCACGTAATGCACCTGAAACACACACACCTGTCTACTACAAAAAATGAAGACATGACTTGTTCAACACGGTCTAATAATGACATGATGTGATGTTCATGTAGATTGCACACACAAGTACATTATATTTTGTTAGGAATGCGTTTGGCTTCCCGCCGCTTTTCAGATTAATTCATTTACATCCGGCAGTGTCAACTTCGTGTAAGAAGAAACCTAGAAGTATTGGATGTTTACTGCATTTATGAAACCAACAGCCGTGGAAATGGAGCTAACGAAGCCAGAGAAATAAGCAGTAAGACTCTCAGATACGAAACCACGATCATAGGTGTCCTACTTTGTACAGCGGATTGCGGCGCCTTGTTAGAATTGTCCTTTGGATTGCTACATGCTTATTGGACATGACAAGGTTTGATATTATGGGTTTCCACTGTCCGACAATGGATGTAGACTAGAAATAGTCAAAATGAAATGATAAGAAGGTAATTTGTAAGGTCTGTTACCTAAAATTGGATGGGTCAATGCAACTGAAAATCCTTGGAATAACGCTGTAAATCCTAGAGTCTTTCCCATACAGTCGACCCCCATGAAATCCACTATTACTAATGGAAGAAGGCACGGGAAGGCACATCCGAAGACGCCAACCACTACACAGTAGGCTACAAGAAGAGGATATGTGGTGTAGAACATTATAAACTGTGATGCCACTCCTACGATCAAAAGGCCAAAGCCATGATTTGACAGACACGGAGATATCCAAGATCAGCTACAAAACCATAAAACAGTCGACAAAAGAAGTCCAGAATTCCAGAGATGAGCAGCAGAAACGCTGCATCAGACTGACTGTATCCCATTTCCTTCATCTGTGCCGGGAGGTAGGTTTGAACGTGTCTCACAACGACACCGAACTGACAAAATACCATAATGAGAAGAAACATTGGATTCTTAAATAAAGAAAAGTCAAAAACTTTGAAAACCTTCCCAATATTTCTCGCGATTGATGATTTTGGGTCGTCGACACGTATTTCCTTCGAAACTGCATCCAAAAGTGTGGGTGTGATTATTGGGAAACTCACGAGGTCTGAGTTACTTGTGTATACCAGTTTGTCAGACTCTGAATCAGACTGCTTTATGATCCTTTTTAGAACCTTCGGAGTATGCTCTTTTCCTGAAGGAACCGTCGCTTTGGGGATCAAGGACTCCATTGCAGGTGTCATTTACAACAACGTTACAACTCCTGACACTTCCATTGTGAATGTTCTCTGTGTGTTTTGTGTGTCTATGGTCAGACCAAGTAGCATCTTCATTCCTGATGACCTTTCTTACTTCAGAACCACCACTGTCCACTGTATCTTCCTGCATGCGTTCGGGTTTCACTCTTCTTTCATAGAAGTGAAGAGGTCGAAATAGGGATGCCCCTACCCATATATTCATAGTTAGACCAGTGTATATGAGTGTTGTTCCCCGAACGCCATATTCATCAAGCAGATATTGAGAAAATATTGGGAATACACTTGCTAAACTCATCGCTGAACTTGCAGCTGTTGTAGCCAGGCCTCGTCTTTTCTTGAAGTATTTTCCAATCAGCACTAAAGCTGGTGCATGTATCATTGAATTCCCCATTCCTGAAACAGAAGAATAGGTGTTCTCATTGTTTACTTGTACAGATTGTGGTATGGTATATATTGTGTAGGTGACGATATAATATTGGAACACACACACACTGTCACCTTATGCTATCCGATGGATCTGTTAGAGTTTAGTTCGTAAAGATGCAAAATCAAGATTAGGACGTGATTCAAGTCCTCATTTCATGGAGTTTCCAAGAACTGTCTAGTCTCCTAAGACCTATAGGCGTACAGTACCTTGGAGTTTGGCAAACGCTATCATTGTGCACTGCCCGTCCATCTGGGAGCCTTTCGAGAACACCATCTATGCAGTTATCAGAGGACCTATTTTAAAGGAACTGTTTTTCCTTTCCTACTATTTAGTGGACACAAGACTTGCATAAGCACATACCTAAAAGAACACTGTGAACACATATGATGACCATTATGTTGGGCGCGAAGGTGGCTGAGAGAATAGCTAACACTATGAGGAGTCCGCCCAACATGACTGTCTTCCTCGTCCCGAGAAACTCCAACACAACGTGCATAGTAACCAGTGCTAGAAGAGTAAAGCCACCACTGAACATAAACATATCTATATAATATAATCACACGGGTTATTAGAAGAACCTTCAGCCAAATTACAATTCAGTGTAAGGTACCAGGAACAGGCTATAGCTGTGCATCCGTTTATTTCATAACATTTATACATTCGCAAATGTTATAGGTGATCTTGCGTTCTGAAGATAGAGACATAATCACACATTTGATGACTTACATAGATATATCATGACAGGCAGTTGAACCTGAGATTTCCAAATATCAATCACGCCCTTCCTTTTACAAATACGTTGTATCTGCATGTTGAATCACAGGATACATTACCTCGTCAGAAATACACACTTATTCCTCATTTGCACTTCTTTGGTGCAATTTAATATCAACCCGGTTGATATAGGTTCATCATGAAGGACACACGGGATAGATTGTCTTATGCATTCCGTAAGTAGAACGGTGTAAGTACGTATACACAAGTGAAAACAGAGAGTAGAAACATAATTTGACAAGTAGGCGTCACGTAAATATTTAGCAGCATTTTTGGTCAGTAGTCAGTAGTGGCATTAATTTGTAGACGCATTAATCTCAAGATTAAACTGTTTTTAGATTAGTTACGATTGGTCTGCTTACACATTAGGCTGAAGGACATCGCTCTCACCCCAAGGATTAGGGTTGTCTTTGTTGTAGATGCACCAAACATCTCAAGGTATTCCACAAAGAACAGTGCCATGGATCGGTTGTATCCACCCATTAGCATAGCATTCAGGAAACATCCTGAAACAGATATTTTACGAATGTGTCATACAACCACTGGATTGTCTGGTTTGTTTACAGACAACATCGTACAGCTGTGAGGTGAGGTGAGGTGAAATTGAGTTAATATTGTTAACACTTTGAGTTTACAATAGGTATTGACGTTATAAGAATATTGTTGAAAGAAAGGGGTAAACGAGAGAATGATTGAAACTGAGTTCGTCAGTCAGTGGCTGAACTAGTGAGTATAGCGATAAAGCAAGACACCACACTAGTCTGTATTTGGGTTGTTACAGAATTTGGTGTAAAAGCACGTCTCTGACATCGATGCAGGATAACCTGACATATCATATCTGTTAGCAAGTAGGAATAACCCATTCAGGTGAGGTGAGATGAGGTGAAGTTGGGTTTTACGTCGTGCTTGAGAATATTTCGCTCATATGACGACGTGCATGCGTGTGTATGTGTGTGTGTATGTGCGGCTGCTTGTACTAGCCCAGACTGAGATACCATGCTGCAGTGAAGCATGAATACCCCACTCAGACACAGTATTCTGACTCCGAGCCGACCAGTCCTTGTTGTACCCATTAATGCCGAGCGCCAGGCAGGGACCAACAAGTACCATATTTTAACGTCTTTTGGTATGACGCGGTCGCGGATCTAACCACTACACCACAGAGGCGGTCTCGTACAGCTGTAATACTGCTTAAACAAATATATACTCATGATATAGTCACAATTGTACAACCGACTTTGCTTGTAGCAGAGATTTTCTGTGGATGTGGTAAGGGTCATGTCGCTTCTATTTGTATGAGGATGGGCAATGTTTTGAGGAAATACGCTCGACTGTCGAGAAACATATTATATCCTAAACTCAAAACAAATGTGCAGCACCGGAAATTTAATATAGGATTATGTTCGAGCTCTATACACTTACAACCAATGTATACGTACCTCCCAGTATCGCCCAAGCCCATCCTCTGTCTATAGGCAGTAAGTTGTTATCCTCATCTGGATGATGTGTTTCTGAGTTCCCAACCTTCCCGTTGTGGTCACCCTCTTTACCTTTACTCATTGCTATAACTTCAGGAAGACTGTGTGTACCAAGCCACCTGTCGAGACTCTAAGCAGTCCCTGTCATAGTAAGGTCAGAGACATCCCGGGTGACCTACTGCTGTTATCGGGCTGGACGTGTCGGTGGTGTGTCCTGTCTCATGTCGCAAAGTAGATTTGTGTCAATACCGACAGGTGCTTTCATGTCATCTGTGTCCGAACACGGGTTTCTTTCGTTCACATTGGTTTACACACGTATTTATGTGTGTGCTTTGTTTGCGTGCATGCACAAAGCATGCGTGTTCTTGCGTGCGTGCATGCGTGTGTGTGTGTGAAGCAATGTAATGGATCAGAGGCAACGTGGCTGGGCAAAATCATATTTTTCATAGATATCATATTTTTCAGGGCACCCGTGAAGAGCCGCTTCCTCCTGGTGGGTGCTGGGTGACGCAAAGCGCTCTTCAATCCCCGTGTGGCCCCGGGGGCATAGTGGTCCACAGCACCCCATCGCTGGTCTTTAGACCGAATTGGGCACCCCGTTTGCCGTGGATTGCGCCCATGTGTCGGAGGAGGACGGGAGTCTGGTGGTTGAGGGCACTGCTTTCAGGAATAGCATTCCTTTGCCCAAAACACCACTTCGCCCTTTACTTCACTTAGACGGGTGGTAGAATGGGCCCGGTCCTATCAATAGGCTGGTCATCATGTCAAGCCCTGTGTATGATTTTTTACATCGCTTGACTTATTACTTAACTTATTGAATGATCTTTGTTCAAAAAGTTTCAGATAGTATTTGAGATATGTACCTAGGGCTTATACACAGAAGGTGGTGGCTCATGGGTCAATCTGGTGGATCTATATCTGCTGGAGTATAACATTCCTGTATCCCTTAGGTGTTAGTTTGCTGGATTACCTGGCTGATGAAACTTCGCAATCAAGGCGTAATTGAAGCCAAACGATTTACATTTCGCAAAGAAGACCGTGTGTTTCCATCAAATACTTATCTTTTGACATCAGACACAACAGTACTGCAAAGTTCTATCAAGGTAGGTTGTTTTCCCATGCCTGTGGACCTCTTCATCCCCCGACCTACTCGTTGGTTCAAATGTCAGAAATTCGGACATGGTCAAACTTCATGCAAAGGTAAAACCACTTGCTTCAGATGTGGTGGGATTGACCATGATGGTAACACATGCGCTCAGCCATTAAAATGCCCCAACTGTCAAGGTGATCACATGTGATCTTCAACTGACAGCAATGAGTACACCCTTGTACAGACGATCAAATGCGAACAAAAGATAAGTTACTTTGATGCGAGGAAACAAGCAAAGTCAGTTGCTTCCGTTATTATTACCGGACAGTCTAATGCTTCTGTTGCTAAAACTGTTAAAGTTATTCAAACAACATCAGTACACTGTCAGACAGATCTGTCATGGACAAATGGAGATGCACCAAAGCGATTTTCTGATATTGCAAAAAGAGCTACAATTTCTAAATCAACTGCGACAGCATCAACATCAACATCATCTGATAAAGCCTCAAAGACTACAGCTAGAAATGATGTTGAAATTCCTAAAAAGAAAAATCAAACTGACAGAGTGTCAAAGGCACTAAAAGATCCCGTGCAACAATACAATAAGTATGGGTTGCTTGGGGATATGGATACGGATGTATCCGCCCATGTGAACATTAACGACCATACCAGTGATCACTCTCCCAAAAGAACGGAAGAGCACTGTCACCAGTTACTGGCCCTTAAATGAGAAATACAACCTGAAATTCAGTGGAATTGCATGGTCCTACGGACTAATTTCAATGCTTTACAGCTCTTAGTGCAAGAATTTACACCGTCAGCAATCTGTCTACAGGAGACATATTTAAAACATACTGATACTTTTGACCTACGTCATTTCAATGCAGATCACTATTTTTCACCTCCGGGTGTCAGGGCAACTGGAGGGTCTTCCATCCTTGTTACACAGACTGTTATCCACAGCCCTGTTACACTCAGAACTAATCTCCACGCTGTTGCAGTGCGGCTCACGTTGCACGTTGCTTTTACAATATGCCCTCTATATGTCCCACTGTCTTCAACTGGCTGATCTACAAGTTCTTTATGATGAACGTCCTAAACCCTGTATTATTATGGGTGATCTAAATGGCCACAACCCACTCTGGGGGGTTCAACTACATACACCAGAGGTAAATCACTGGAGAACTTTATTTCAAATAATGATTTATGCATTTATTATGACGGTTAAAATACTTATTTACATCCTGGCACAGGAACATATTCGGCCTTTGATATGTCAATTACAGGCCTAAACCTCCTGAATGAATTTGAATGGTCAGTCCACGACGACCTCTGTGGTAGTGACCATTTCCCAACACTACTAAGACCTTTAACCCCATCTGATGTTTCCCCATCATCAAGATGGAACTTTAAAAATGCTAACTGGCCTTTATATGAAACGCCGTGTGTTGACAAGCTTAAACCTGAACTTTTTAATAATGTTCCTGATGCTATAAAAGTTTTTTTCTGATTAACTGAATATCATTGCTGTCGAGTGAATACCAAGGTCCTCTGCAATTCCACATATTCGAAAACCATGGTTCAACGATAAATGCAAACAAGGAACGGAAAAAGACAGAGCACTTTTTCCGTCGACACCCCATGGTGCATAATTTGAATAAATTTAAGATTTTAAATGCTACAGCACGGCGTACTTTTAAACAAAGTAAGCGCCAGTCTTGGCAAAATTATGTATCAAACATTAATTTGCGTACGACAGTGTCTAAGGTATGGAATCTTATTACACCTACTTGGGTTGTTAGTCCAGACTTGAAGAGGTTATTATGCGACGATGTCGCATTGGCCATGCACGATATACTCACGGATACCTATTAAAGGGTGAGGATCCTCCGTTTTGTATCCATTGTGATGAAAGAATCACGGGCAAGCAAGTCCTGCTTGACTGTGTTGATTTTTCTATCACAGGGGATAAATATTTCAGTGTAATCTTGGGTTTTTAAAAGGAATATATCTAATTCTGATGTACATGGATATTCTTTATATAATTAGGTAGGATATATTTATTAACAGAGATTGATTATGATGTGCCCTTGACGGGGGATGAAGTACCGTAAAATTATTGTGCCCCCTGAGAGGGTATGTAAGTCCATGTCTTGCCAAGTATTTTTATATCTACCAGGTTTTAATTGTAGTATCTCTGTTATATTAATTTATGGCTAAATTGGTCGACAAATGCTGACAGCTGAAGGGATGATGTAAATCCAGCTAGGGGCCATGCAGGAAGCAAATGTACTGTAAGTCCCCATGGACCCTAGTATGGTGATTTACCTTCAGTTGTTGCCATTCTATAGGCCGTAATTACATTGTTTTAGATTTAATTACTAGTTTTAAATGGATATCTGTGATACACTAGTAGATTTACTGTTCTTCGTCAACAGGTTTTATTTTTAATTTTATTGATCTATAACATAAGTATTAATTGTTCTCGTCACGATATGGCTGAAATATTGCCGATGTGACGATAAATAATAACTCACTCAATCATATTTTCAGGAAAAAAACTAACAAAACAACAGAACGGTTTTAAGTGAATTTTACAGCTTCTGTTATTATGTTATACTACCGCTAAATTTGAAATAGAACATAGTTCTAAAGAAATGTCATTTTGTTTGCACTAATAACGCAGCTGTCTATTTTCGTGTGGACGGAAGGCTTTCCTTCGGGCGTGGGATGTGAATGCATCCTTCGGTACCTGACCAAGATCAGTGGCCATATCGCCAAAGAATTCTGATGATATACTAGTATTTCATATGGAAATTATGTTACCTTTTATCTCTTAATCTGTGTTGGCATAACATAGAATCAACGTAAAGGTATTTTTCTTGCTGACAATGCTTTGGTCGTTGTCAACTTAAATATTTGTTTCCAAGCTTGTGAAACAATTTTGCATGTATCAACACCTATTTCTGTGATTTACGCAAGTCCAGCTTCTCATCGCTAAATCCATCTTCAAAGACATCTGTGAAAAGTTGACAGCAACTTCGCCGTAATCTATCGATGTATCGGTAGATTGTGTGATGTCCGCCAACGATAATAGTGCATTACCGTAAAACATGTAAAATTGCGCATGGAATATCAGAGACCTGAATATTCCATGCGTTATTATATACCTCTGAATGACTTTAGTTTACCAATCGCAATCCAGTATTTGTCATGATAGAATTTAAGATTACCAATGGATATTTTGGAAAAAGGCACCAATATCATCACTTAATGTCTCTTTGGTATGGCATGGCTTCGGGAAGTGGTTTCCACGATTTGCTTTACAATTGAAGACTGGTATAAAAAATAGGTCACATTGGTGACTCAAGTGACAAATTGATCGTTTTCGTTTACAACATTACTTCAGTGAACTATTTGTGTGAAAATGTAACCGAGATTGTACTAGCAGTGGCAATTGTAGACCGAACGCGGGATGCATGATGGTTCATCTTACCTGACACATAAATGTTGTTTTCTCAATGGCTGAGCCAATCAATGTACCCCGCTTACAAGCGACATAAACAAACATAGAGGGTAGAACTCATGTCCCCCTCGTGATCAGTAAACAACTTATAGTGTCAGTGCAGTGACGGTTCATTCTAACCCGGACCTTCACAGGTAAGTACACACGGTAACGTCTGTTTAACACAATGGTCATTACGACCCTGTGAGTTGTAGATCAACTCGTTTCAACTAGTAAAGCTTTGTTAATAGTGTTCCCTGTTTTTAAATTACGTCATTGAAACACATTGTAATATACAGTTGTGGCATTCTAATTTGAATGTAACTATCTCGTTGGCAAATCGCCGCCTTGTGATAAAGTCGACTAGCCAGGTGACATGTAAGGGTATTGTCACGATATGACTGAGACATTGCCGATGTGACGTGAAATATCACGCACTCACAGACCCGTGAAGATCCGGGGTAGAATAGGTCTTCAGCAACCCATTCTTGTCATAAAAGGCAACTATGCTTGTCGTAAAAGGCGACTAACGGGATCGGGCGGTCAGGCTCGCTGACTTGGTTGACAAATGGCATCGGTTCCCAATTGCGCAGATCGGTGATCATGCTGTTGATCACTGGATTGTCTGGTCCAGACTCGATTATTTACAGACCGCCTCCATATAGCTGGAATATTGCAAAGTGTGGGTAAAACTAAACTCACTCACTCACTCACCGGGTGTACTTGTACAGAAGGCGGGGTATTCGGACTAAGGGAGGTCACTGTGTATGGATTCACTAGATGTCAGTTCTCTGATTAGTAATATCAGAGTGGTCATTAGTTTTCCTCCCCAACGTATTACTATTGTTCATCGCTTTTACACATGAGAAATTATCACATGTGTCCAGACATATCCACGAAGCAGTAGGAAGCCGTGCAGGTTAACAGTGTTCATTATTTAAAAAACGACGACAATGTTTGTGATCATGTTAACCTCCATACAGACATGGTCATAGAAACCTTTATCTTTTGCATTTTAGACAGTTAACCAATTGTCTTACCATATTTGTCCAAGCAAACTGATAACAATAGATCTAAGTTATTATAACCAACTCTTCATGTCAGGCTATTTATAGGGGCTGGATTTTGCGTCAGGTTACACCACATCCGCCAACACATCGCTGGACATTCAAAATGGCATTCGAATTCCCCTTGTACATGCACAATTCTGCCTAAAAGGCTTCGACGAAAATTGGCAAAAGTATCCGGCCAAACACTCCAGTGATTGACGTCATTCGCATCGATGTTCTCATTTGGGACATGATTCCACCAATCCGGTCGGCGAGCCTCTTTCCTTTCTGTCGGATATCTCCATTTTGATTTTATAAAAATAACAACCCAACGTTTAGGACACTTGATTGGAGAACTTTGAGGATCTACGTGCATAGACATGTACACATTGTTTGCTGGGTTGAATGGTTATTCGGAGAGCGGAAGGTCGTGGGTTCGATCCCCGACCGAGTCATACCAAAACACTTTAAAATATGGTACTTGTTGGTCCCTGCCTGGCGCTCGGCATTAATGGGTAAAACAAGGACTGGTCGGCTCGGAGTCAATATAATGTGTCTGAGTTGGTATTCATGCTTCACTGCAGCATGGTATCTCAGTGGGCTAGCACTATAATACCAGCTTCAGTCTGGGCTAGTACACGCAGCCGCACATACACATACACACGCATGCACGTCGTCATATGGGAGAAATATTCTCAAGCACGACGTAAAACCCAATTTCACCTCACCTCACCTGAATGGTTATTCCTACTTGCTAACAGATATGATATGTCAGGTTATCCTGCATCGATGTCAGAGACGTGCTTTTACACCACAAATTCTGTAACAACCCAAATACAGACTAGTGTGGTGTCTTGCTTTATCGCTATACTCACTACTTCAGCCACTGACTGACGAACACAGTTTTAATCATTCTGTATATACTGACTGCCTCCGTGGTGTAGTGGTTAGAGCATCTGCCCGGAGAGCGGAAGGTCGCGGGTTCGATCCCCGGCCGCGTCATACCAAAACACGTTAAAATATGGTACTTGTTGGTCCCTGCCTGGCGCTCAGCATTAATGGGTACAACAAGGACTGGTCGGCTCGGAGTCAGTATAATGTGTCTGAGTGGGGTATTCATGCTTCACTGCGGCATGGTATCTCAGTGGGCTAGCACTATAAAACCAGCTTCAGTCTGGGCTAGTACAAGCAGCCGCACATACACATACACACGCATGCACGTCGTCATATGAGCGAAATATTCTCAAGCACGACGTAAAGCCCAATTTCACCTCACCTCACCTCGAAGTATTGATACATACACTATAAAACTTTCTAATGCACATTTATGACAGCATTTGGTTCATTTCAGTGGTATTGTCGACTCATCGTTCTCTGTTCGTGGATGACTCTTTCTTCTGGATTCATATCGTCTCACTACGGGTTCACACAGCAACAGTCCTGCAGCAAAGAACGCAGTTGATCCCAGATAGTGAAAACAAGCTACGTATGATCCACTCAAGTCACGTATACTTCCTGAAAAATATAACGAGACAAAGGTAATTATTTTCCGACATAACATACAAAAAAGACAAATATTTGCATTTTATTTCATTTTTAGACACACAACTTCGTATTTCTGTAATCGTACTATCGACCAATTGCATTAGTAAAACAGAAAAAATCCTTTAGACATTTTAAGGAATGTCGTCACAATTTCATATACCTGTGATGGGGTGTGTTAATGAAATAGCAAATCCCTGGAACAAAGCTGTAAATCCAATAGTCTTTGCCATGTAGTCGACTCCCATGAAAATCAACCACCATCACTGGTATTAGGCACTGATATGCACTTCCGAAGATGCCAATCACCACACAGTAGGTCACAATTAATGGATATGTTGTGTAATAAATTATAAATTGAGATGACAGCCCCGAGACCAAGAGACCAATGGCCATTATCTGACTGACACGAAGATATTTCAGATCAGCTAAAATCCGTATAAAATCCTGCTGATAAAGTCGAGAATTCTGAGATCAGCAAAAGAAATGCTGCCTCAGATTGACTGTATCCCATTTCATTTAACCGTGCAGGAAGATACGTTGAAACCTGTTTCACAGGTACCGCAAAATGACAAAAAGCAACGATAAGCAGAAACAATGGCTTTTGAACAGAGTAAAGTCAAATGCTTTTAAGATTTTTTTCACATTCTTCAAGCATGCAGATGTTCGTTTGGGTCCGTCCCCAGGTTTTAAAGTATCCGTTTCCCATTGTCGATTAGGCTGCACTGTACCGTCATCAGGACGACTTTCAAATTCCACTTGGTCTTTTGTTGGGAGTAGCTTGATGTCACTCATTTCAACCATATTGGATTTCTTTCTATAAAATTCTAAAGGACGAAAAAGGGCTGCTCCTACCCACATGTTCATTGTGAGGCCAGCAAATATAAGCAAAGTTCCACGGAGGCCATATTCGTCCAGGAGATATTGTGAAAAAATCGGGAACAGTCCTGATGCACAGCTAATTGCAGTACTTGCGGTGGTGGTAGCGAGACCTCTGCGTTTCTTGAAGTATTTGCCCACCAGGACTATAGCAGGTGCGTGTATCATTGAATGACCAATACCTGCAATACATGAAAGAGAATCTGTTTAACATATTTAGGATTAACACAATGATATAAGTAAATTAATCATAAAAATATATTAACGCTACTGCCTAAACGTTCATTCCCCTTACACGCGTTGAGAACGCGTGTAACACGCATGTTTAATAGTTGTGCTGCGCGTTTGAGTCCCGTGTCACACGCGTGTGCAACGAGACACACACGCGTGTACAAACGGTGTGTGCCACGGGGCCAAGCTTCATGTGAGTTTGACGAATAGCGTCAGTGTTGCATGATTAAATGTGCATGAATTTGATATGGGAACTTTGCCGGAAGTGGTAGGGGGATGAACTACGGGATGGTTCAGTTGGTACTTGTTTTGATTGTGTATTTTTTAAGTTAATTAATTCAAAATAATGGGATTTTAAATAATGAAATTCCTATACACGACAATAGAGTTTTGTAAAGAAATTATTCATTGTGTTAATACACTTGTCTAATGTCTTAACACAGGAGCTGACTTTGATGCTATATGGTGCGAGCTCAGTATTACACATGAATGTCGTTGTCATCCGACGGCACGGAGCTCTGATGAACGTGTACAAATGTATAGGAAATATCCAGCATGCTGCAGATTGCCGTCTACCACGTCTTTAACTAATTCTTTTAAATACCGACTTAGATATTTACCTGCAAGAACACTATGAACACATATGATGACTTCAATATTGGGAGCAAAGGTGGCTGAGAGTATGGCTGACGCACTGAGAAATCCTCCCAACATGACTGTCTTCCTTGTCCCCAGAAACTCCAGAAGAACGTGCATCGTAACCAGGGCTAGAAGTATAAAGTCATCAGACATGTGACCATTGAAGATAGTTGGTTGCTTTCTTGTTTAACGCCGCATCCAGCAATATTCATCCTATATGGTGGCGGTCTGTAAATACTTAGTATTCGAGTCTGTACCAGACAATCCAGAGATCAACATCATGAGCATTCATCTACGAAACGGGGCGGTAGGGTAGCCTAGTGGTTAAAGCTTTTGCTCGTGACGCCGAAGACCCGGGTTCGATTCCCCACATGGGTACAATGTGTGAAGCCCATTTCTGGTGTCTCCCGCCGTGATATTGCTGGAATATTGCTAAATCGGCGTAAAACTAACCTCAGTCAGTCAGTCATCTACGAAACTGGGATACGATGACAAGCGTACTGATTATGTACTGGTTCAACTTTCAGATGTGTGTCTTTAGCCCAGTGTTTAAAACATGTCATGGTGTCTAATGATTGATGACATTTGAGAGATCCTGTTATATCTGTTCCCCACATAGGTACAATGGTGTCCCCGCCGTGATATTGCTGGAATATTGCTAAAACCATACTCACTCACTCACCGTTATATCTGACGTTCTTGTTGGTGCAATAAAACTATCTGATACTCAAATTGGGACACTACCGTTTTATAGGCATAGCATGTCAATTATGACGAGTGAATAAATGAGAATGAGATGGTGGGTGGTGGACGGAAGGAGTGAGTGGGTAAAGGAGTTTGTGGGTGAGTATCATCAAATGCAGCCATACTTCAACATATGGATTCTGCGAATTGGCACACGTTTACCCTTGTCACAAGCAAACCAGGGCACATTTGTAACTCATTGTGAACTGGTGTACTGTGAACCTCAAAACTTATGCACGGATTTACTTACACATCATACTCTTTGTCATTGCCTTCACTCCCATTATGAGGGTCGTGGTGGTTGAGGACGCACCAAACATATCCAGGTACTCCACAAAGAACAAAGCCATAGACTTGTTGTACCCTGCCATCAGCATTGCATTCAGAAAGCAACCTGAAATAGAATGTTACGGAAATCTTGTTTTAATCGTTACATTATTTGTTCTCAGATGTCATAAAAAACATCCCTAACTTTTAACATACCGGAATAATTTTATACATATATATGTCCATCGCAAATCAGTTGTTGGGACGGAATTTGTCTGCTTGTTTTGCTATCGTGGACGTCAATATAGCTTTTCATCACAGTCAGTTTACATCAGTAAACGAAATCTTATGATGAAATGGTAGTACTTACACATATTTTCACACATATATTATTCACATCTCATTTGTTTGATAAGCATTTAGAAGTTGGTAGGGTAATACCAGACACTTGATATGGATGTGCAACTTCTTTATTATTTACACACTGTGCAACTTGTATTACATTTATTTACACACTGTGCAACTTCTTTATTATTTACCCAGTCAATAATAAAGAGGTTGCACATCCATATCAAGTTTCTAGTATTATTGACATCTCTATTGATAGGGACAGGATACTCTGGAAATGTATATTTATGTGACTGCATTGTTCTTTTCTGAGATCACAATCTCACAATCTGTGAATACAGCTGTAAAGGATCGGTATAGTATATTGTGTGAACAGTACGAGTCATACCTCCAAGTATAGCCCAGGCCCATCCACGGTCTATGGGCAGTCCAGCATTACCATCTTCGCCCTTATCTTCTTGGAGCTGTCCTTCAACATGATGTTCTACTTCATCATGCTTCATCTCAACGTTGACAGCAGGTGTCGTTACGATATTTGTGTTCCCCTTTGCATCTGCAATGCCTTCACTGTCTCCAGCCGATGACATGTTCCTTGCGTTTACTCACAATAACCGCGTTTGGCCTCCTTCAGCTTTGGATAGTTTGGGCAATCGGTACAATGTCTATCTTCTTTTCTGAAACGTTCCATTTTATTCTTGAGGCTCTAACATAAAAGTTATAGTTATTATCGTTACTGTTATGAAAATACTTGAGTGAATGCTCGGGCCCCAATGTGTATAACAACGTGTATACGATAGTATAATTTCAAGGACAAATATTTTCGGGTAAAACTGAAGAGCAATAAAATCACACCAAACGAAAAATACTAACATTCTTTGATAATATTTTGAATGAAAGTGAGTGAGTGAGTATGGTTTTACGCCGCTTTTAGCAAAATTCCAGCAATATCACAGCGGGAACACCAGAAATGGGCTTCACACATTGTGGCCATGTGGGGATTCGAACCCCGGGACTTCGGCGTGACGAGCGGACGCTTAACCACTAGGCTACCCCACCGCCCCTTTGAATGAAAGACACAGTGATATACGAATATGAAAGTCATCTGAGTACCTAATGAATTAATGCGAAACAATTAGCTAATATGTGTGTCAATATGTTGACGATACCGAGGATTGTGTCATACCTGAATATATGAACGTTTCACTCCTATCTCATGCCTCAGAGTGTGGGAGGGAGAGAGAGAGATGACCTCATATGACATGTTGCTGGAACGTGGTGGGTTCACTTCAGGCCTGTAACCTAGAATGAGAATGCGCAGGTCTCGTCTTATCTTCGGTTGTCATGACTCACAAGTTCTGTTCACAAGATCTGATCTGAGAACACCGCGGTTGCTCGTGTAGCCACAACTCTATATATTTTGGTCAACACTTAATGTTAAGTACGTATTCACTTAATAAATGGGATATTCGACTGGTTGGACGCATTATTTATAGATTGTGATGTCATTTTGGCACGATTTCCCACCTCTTACTAATTTAGAAAAGGACAATAGACACTTTTTTAAAGATATTTGTGATATACCTCCAGGACAAATTTAAGATGGTCGCATCAGGTTACGTTTAAACAGAGAACAATTTATTTAAAGTTTTCGGAATGGCCATCCACTTTTCTGCTCTGATGCACACTCAGAGTGGGTTAAAACGAACCTTGCCATTTCTAATGTCAGGTTCGCTATATACGTCTTGTTAACGTGACACCTAACATGAAGAGCCGGATCGTGACGTTTTTAAACAGATAATAATAATATTGTGTTTCGATTAACACTAAAACGAATGACATTTTCGTTTCGTGTCATTTCTGTTTACAGCGTATCAATAGCGCATTTACGTTGAATTTCGACAAACTGTGGACAATTATGAATGAGATGACATCAGGTGTTTACGAAAAGGGTCCTGATCTCCCCACGCCCGCCATGCACAAAATTTGATTAGCAGGTAATCATTTATTACCTGACGCCGCATAGCAGTATTCCTGCCATGTGACGGCGATTTGTAAACAACCAGACAATCAACTGATCGAGGGAACAGAAAATCGACACGATAGTGCATTTACTGATTTTATAAAACTTATGCAAACGATTTGTAAATAATTACGTCCTTGTATAAGTGCAGGGGTTATAGGGAAAAATATCATTTATATTTATTTCACAACACAGTGCTGGCATGTTGAACTTTTAACTACGCAATCATCCAAATTCAAATGCACATAAAATTATAAGCCAAAACCTACTATCCAAGGAGATGTCTTCATGTTTTAACAGGAAATTCAATTTTAACTTGCATTTGAAACGCATTATTTTCCTCCAATAATGGAAACAGTCACTATAATTATAAACAAAAGCGAAACAATATGCAAACGTAAATTTGAGGGGTGTCCTCTCACTTAGCCAGATTCTGTCCAAAAAGGTCTCTCACATAGCCAGAGTGGGATCTGGCTGACTAGGGTTGGTGTTTTGATAACACTTAGTCCACATGAGCCATATAGTCTTATCCTAAATTAGTGAGACGAGTGAATTTGTATTAAAGTGGGATATATTGATATGATATTATTTCAATTTTTTTTCATATGTGTGTTTGACAAAGACTTGTAATTTCAGTGCACTCGTTTATAAATTTAACAGGCATATAGTAAGACACAGAATTGCTATGCATATGTTTATAATTATACCATGGTACTTCAAGAGTCTAACTGAAGACATGTGAGAGGACGTACGACGTACGAAACCTGGTGTTTGGGGATTATTTTCCAAAATCAATGTTAATATTTTTCGACTGTTTTGATTTTGGTGTGTACTTTCTTTTATAGGTCAGTTTAGTATTATACTTAGTTTCCTAAACAAAAACGGCTTACAAGTCTGAAGGTTAGTGAGTTGTGTTTGACAAGGCCTTTAACAGCAGTCCAGTCACGACGAGTCGCCTTCACGTTAGATACCAACTCAACTACATGTACCACGAGGCATTTTACATGTGACACATGCATACATATCACGCATAAAGTCATAGCCATGGTAAACGACATGGGGTATGTAGCAGGTATTTGTTATGTTAATGATGTGTACACGTGAGATAATTACACAAATAAACGAGACTTACCTGTAAGGTGAAGTTTGATAGTAATTCCATCAACCACCTTCCTGACTTAGGGGTTACGTGAGAGGCGCTCATGCGTACTAATCAGTCTTGAGCGGCAAAAATGTTTGCATCAATCACCTGGGCTTGGGTGGGCGGGCAAGTAACTCCTAAGTCAGGAAGATGGTTCATGGAATTACTATCAAACTTCAGCTAATTGTCTCTTTGCACACTGCCTTGTGTGGCCGTTTAAGTCCAACAAACATCTGGGGCTCATTACCCCTAATGGCTGGGGTCCTGTCTAAATATGCACGAATATTTTCCACAATGCATAATCTATTATCCTCAGGGCAACTCGAAAAAACTAGCTCTCCTACATGGTAACTACGTCTAGAATATGTCTTTCAGTGGCATTTAGAAGTTGTACATTGATGTCCAAGATATTTTTATGGATTAAACTTCTTTTTAATTTCTCTCACGACGTTTCGAGACCATTCCAGGTCCCTTCATCAGGTGACCTGGAATGGTCCGGAAACGTCGTGAGAAATTAAAAGAAGTTTAATACGTCTAGATTGTTTCAACAAATCGCCTATTCTAATAACTAAATGGTTACTTCTGAATTCTACATTCTCCACATGTAGTAAATGCACAGTTTGAACTCGCTGTCAGAGAGTAAGCACAAAAAGGTTGTTTAAGGTATGTCATGTGATTTTCATAGTTCTTCATTGAACACAACACTTCCTCAACATCCCACATGACGGAATGTCTTGGCAGTGAGGGTCTTAAATGAAACACGCCTTTCATAAAACGTTTTACGAAATGATGTTGTCCTAACGGCCTGTCGTCTATGGTGACAATGGATGATCAAGCTGACCTTGCCGTACACAAGCCACTATATCCTCGGCCACTGTGAAACATTTCGCTGAAAAATTCCAACACTTGATTCACAGGTGGTAAAAGGGGATTAACTTCCCGTTGGTTACAAAAACAAATCTATTTTTTGTGATAACACCAATACTGCTTTTGAGTGTTTTTACGCCAGGATGCGAGTAGTATGGTTGTAACCTTTTCCGAAAATTCTCTTGATTGGAAAGATTCCCGAACAATCTGAAGAGTGTCAGTTTGAGTTTTCTTCTCAGAGGATGAAGATATTGTGCTTCTGTTGGCAGATGTAACAGTCGATTCCTGTCTGGTAGGATCCGAGGATAGTCTGCTGTGAGTTTGAGGAGTTAGGTGAACCACACTTGGGTTGGCCACAGAGGGGCTATCAACGTAACATCTGCTCCGTCTTGTTCTGTTTTCTTTACCGCGGGATTATACTGAAAGGTGGAAAACAATAATTACTATGGGTCTTCCAATTAACACTGAAACAGTCTACTGCTGTTGCCCCAGGATCAGGTCGCCATGGGACATAATTTTTAAGCTTGTAATGGACCCGGGATGCCAGAGGTCACGATGTAAATCTGGATACCTTCGTTTAATTGCATTAAACACCTCGTCAGCCAGTGACAATTCCTTGTCCCGCCAATTAGTGTCACGTGACTCGCGGTCAGCTAGGGTATTCTGGGCACCTGGCAAAAAAGGCAGAAACCCAGAGATTTCTGTCGATGCACCAGTCCCATAATGATCTAACTTCCTCATAGCAGTCTAATTAGCTACCGCCTTGTTTATTCACATATGCCACAGCTGTAATGTTGTCAGTTAACACGCTTACCTGTTGATGATTACGCAAGGAACAGAAACTTTGAACAGCAAGCTTGGCAGCTCGGATTTCAAGACAGTTTATGTGTCTGTTGCTCCTCTGCTGACCAGCCTCCTCCAGTTGTTTGCCCTTCGCACGCCCCTCCGCATCCGGTGATTGACGCATCGAAAGATAACTCTATCTCTGGGTCAGGGGTATAAAGGGGTTTTGGAAGCTTCCCTATGTTGTTTATCCACCAATTAAATTCAGGAATAAACACAGAAGGCATGTCATCTCTAGCATCAAAATTCCCTTTGTGTATGCCTAAAAGTCTATTCTTCTAAATTTCCATGCGTTTATAGTGTAACCTAGCAAACGCCATTCCAGGTTCCAAGGTAACCAACGTACCAATAAGTGATGCTAGTTCACGAATGGTCACAGTTTTCTTTGTGAGCATTTCTCTACATAGTGTCCTGATTTACACGTCTTCTCCTCCATGAGACTGACAGTCATGGACCTAGAATCCAGAACATATCCCAAATATGTTATCACTTGTTTAGGGACTAATTGTGATTTCTCAGGGTGGATGGTGAAGCCAAGGGAATCAAACAGTTTTGTGGTAGCTTTGACATGAGCTTGACACTGTGATTTAGAGTATACTGTCATCTAAATATCCTGATATTGTGTGCCCTTCTTTATGAAGTTCTGACAAGACCACTTTAACTATCATCGTGAATATACGAGGAGCGGAACTAAGTCCATTTGGCAGGCACGTGAA